ACAATCAGGTTGCAAATACTTGGAATGCTTTGATGGATGTTGTCAACGCCTCTACTATTGCCAGTTTCAAAAAAAACTAGACCAGCAACTCACAGTTACCAAAGTGCATCATCTTCCGTGGCTGTATTATTGCAGCTTTGCAGCTATACGAGCTAGCTTCCTAGCTAATGATGAACTTACGGTTCATATCTTACTTTAATTCTTATTACTTTAAAAACCTAGGACTCTTTATTCCCAATAACAGTGGTATTTAGGTTAAAAATTGAAATGTTTGTGTAAATCTCCTGTTTATGTTCTTCAATGTAGTTCAAATGTCCCTTATGAAATCTTAAATTAAGAGTTTTTAATCCTGAAAAGTTACCGAATTTCTCCCCTTTCTTTTTTTTCTTTTCATTTTCATTAAAGTTATGTGAATTTTAAACTTATTTCTTTTACTATATGTACTGATATTAAAACAACTATTATCATCTTAATTATACTTTTATTTGCACAAAAACTCTTAATTCGATAAAGAGAGATACAAATTATTTGTAGAACTTACAAACTTGCTTGCTATTTTTTAATATTAATTTAAGATATTTTTACGCTAAAACAAGAAGCATGTAACTTCACCGCGAAAGTAATGTAATGTTGTTTTTAACATTTAAGATTATTTTAGTTTCCAGCCTTTAAATAAAATCCCATGTAAATCTCACAAGAAACCACGTGGGATTTCCCATGTGGGTAAATACCATATGGTTCCCACATGTAACCCATGTGGGATTACCCATATGGGTTTGAAGTGGCAATATTTCCATACGGATACCACATGGGAAAATCCCATGTGGGTAGATACCACATGCAACCCATGTGGGATTTACCCATATGGGTTTTAAGTGGCAAATTTCCATACAGATACCACATGGGAAAATCCGTCACATATAAATCCCATAAATCCTACACAGAACTCACATGGAACCCATGTGGGACGCAGTTTTATTTTTCACTGGGTCAAGAGAGATTAGACATCAAGCTGAATGAGAATATCTGATTCGATATATAGCAAGCTAAGCTTGATATTTATAATAAAATAATATATTATGATTATATCTGATTTTTATTATTATATCTGATTTAATTAATATCAAGCTAAGCTTGATATTTATTAAATCAGATATTCTTCGCGAGATCATTTTTGATGATATAATAAACAATTTTATTGATAAAAGATATATGAAAAAAAATTTTTTAGGGTATATTGTATAAATATGCCAATTTCGTAAACTATGATATCTTTTATAAGTTGTTTTTGCAAATGTCTTAATTATGAATGAAAGAAAAGTATGTAAAATATATTAAAAAAAAGTATTATGTCTAAAAAAACAATAAGTACCAGATTTATCACATAATTATTTATATTTATGAAGGAAAGACTTATGTGCATTGGTAAATATTTATATTAATGAATGTACGTACATTGTTACTCAATAAAATATAATAATAACTGTTTTAATACAAACTAGGGGCCCCCAAAGGTTATAGTGCCAAGGGCCTCAGTTTTCCTTAATCCGGCATTGCATATATATATATATACATTTAATGTCAGGAAAAGAAATGCTCGGTTTAAAGCACAAAGGGAGTACAAATTTAAGGCAATTGCTTTTGATTTCCAAAAAAATCTTAACTTACCAAATCAATCAACCAACAACTTTTACTACAAACGAAAATTACCAATTTTATTCATTTAATATTCACGTGCTTTCAAGTAATGAAGTTTATTTGTATTGTTATGATGAAACTATAGCTAAAAAAGGAGCTGATGAGGTAACTTCGATGTTATATGATTTTTTTATAAAACATTTAGACAAAGAAATTCGATCTGTAGAGCTATTTTGTGATTCATGTGGTGGCCAAAACAAAAACTATACATTAATTCGTTTTATGGATTTTCTTGTACATGAAAAAAAAAGGTTTGACTATAATAAAGTTACATTTCCAGAACGTCATTCTTTTATGGAATGTGATAAAGATATGGGATTAATTAATTGCAAAATACCCACTAGTGATCCATCAGATTGGATTAAAACATTCAAAAATGCTCGTAAAAACCCCACTCCGTTTCATGTTATAGAATTAACGCAAGGTAAGGTTAAAAGTAAAACTGATTTTATGAGACCATTTTATAAGAATAAATGTCCGATTCCAACACGTCCTCTTCGTGAAATTTGTTTCAGAGGAGACTCAAGTGGCATTGTATTTCATCGTGATTTGTGGAATGGATTATTGTTGAAAACTAATTTAAAAAATAATAGGAAGAACATTATAAATAGTGAGATTCCCTTTCTGTATAATGCAAAACTTTGCATCTCTGTGGCAAAGTACAGAGATTTACAAGTAATAAAAAGGTTTACATCGAATGCTCAGTTTTACGATTTTTTGCCATACAATCAGGAGGTTATTGAGACATTTCATGAAATTATTGATTCTGAAAATGAAGAGTAAATAGACTTCTTTTTTGATT